TCAGGGCGGCTTACAACTCGAAAGGGGGGGGGGGGGGACAAACTTTTAACACGGAGGCAACTAGATCATTTTAAAAAAAAAAAGGACTATCAAAACAGACTAAAAACAAAACAAAAGGAAAAATGTTTCCCCTTTTGCATTTGAGCATGAAAGAAGGGGCAGGAAAGGAGAAAGGAAAAGAGGAAAGGCAAAGAAAAAGATGGGAAGAAAGCAAGGAAGGGAAAATAAGGAAAGGGGGGAAGGAAGAAGAAAGAATGAAGAGGGAAGGAAGGAAGGAGATTATGAGAGTGAAGGAGGGTCTCAGGGAAATCCTGCCATAGCAGTTGGCCACCATAGGTGCCCCCATGTCACGCCCACACCTGGCCACGCCCACCCACGCATGGCCCTCCGAGGTCAACCACAACCCTGATGCGGCCCTCAATGAAATTGAGTTTGACACCCCTGTTCTAGGCTGTCTCAAATAAAAGTCTTTTGCTATCCAGCTAGGCAGAGCAGTTCTGAGATCTTTTTAGCACAATGCTGAGTTTCAGTCTTGCTTCTCCAAAACACAAAGGAAGAGCCAGGCTCTAGGCATTCCTCAAGGGTAGCCTCATGGGGAGCATACTGTAACAGTCAAGCCGAGATGTTGCCCCGGCATGGGTGACCATTGGCAGGTCTGCCCAGTAAATCCCCTTTTCTTTCCTTCCCCCATAATACATTTCCCTTGGCTGAAACATTCGCCCTGAAATATTTAAAATCCCAGCACATGTGCCCACATCCCCACTGTGCATTTCCTGTTCCTTTTCTCCAAAGGGAGCAGTGAGATATTCAAAGACATGGCACCTCTGGAGGATGCAAAAGAGGACAAACCACATCAGGTTTTATACAGGTGCAAAGTCCTTAGCTGTTGCATTCAGTCTGAATGCAAAGTGTTCCCGGAGATGGAAAATGGTTAAAGCAACGTTTCTAACTATTCCTTTTCCCGTGGATGAAAACACCTTGAAAAGACAGATAAATGCAACTGTGGCCTTCCGTGAGTGCAGTAAGACAATATTTTCATTAATTTCCTCTTCTGCTTCATCCCATAGCAAACCAAGAGGAAATTAGATGATGCCAACAAACGCCTGGAGTTTCTGTACGATAAGCTTAGAGATCAGACGGTAAGCTTTATCTATTGCCACCCGTATATCTCTTACGCCCAGTGAATGAAATTGCATTTTGTTGGCTGGAGCCCAGTGTTCAAATACACTACATTGCCGAAAGTATTCGCTCACCCATCCAAATAATCAGAATCAGGTGTTCCATCCATCCATCCATCCATCCATCCATCCATCCATCCATCCATCTATCTATCTATCTATCTATCTATCTATCTATCTATCAATCATTTATCTATTATCTATATACACTACATTGCCAAAAGTATTCGCTCACCCATCCAAATAATCAGAATCAGGTGTTCCATCCATCCATCCATCCATCCATCCATCCATCCATCCATCCATCCATCCATCCATCCATCC